AGTTTTAATCAAGATTACAGTCACTAGATATATTTAAATCTAGAAATAAGAATCAAGTTTTATTTCAAAGGATTATCGATGCTTCACATATTACATGTTTCATCAGATTACATATTTGGTCTTTAATCGATATTATATAATCATGCAAGTGTATGTGATAAAATATTTAGTGATTAAGAGAAAATATAGAGTGATGATCAAATGTCAAAATAAATTAACAATGATCAAACACAGCTAATGAACAAATTCTTTGTTAAAGCCTTTTGCTATTCCTTTGAAGATCACTGATTATCAATTAATCAAGCCAGCAAAAAGATGTTTAGTAAGTACCAGCTCTGTGTGATTTTATGATAATACTAATCTTATCTCTATATTAAAAAGAATACAGAATATATAATCTTCTCATATTCTCAATATCAAATTGATCTGAAACAACTAATCTAAAATGTAAAGTAATAGAATTCATAGTCGTGTCCAAATTCTGAACACAAAGAGAATAATAATACTAAAATAAGTAAGGCAGCACTAAAAACTACAGTATGCAAAGAAGTATAACCTTCAAATTCATGCAAAAAAAATGCAAATAAATTGTTAGTATAAATAAATCAAATGAAAAAAAGAAAAATTAGTAAAAGCTGCCTTTTTTAAAGCCTCCAAGCTTCCAATTAATAAAAAATTGAAGATTCTTTATTGAATTCGCATTATAAAATTGATCAGATAGAACATAAAAAAAGATTGTATAAAAATTATAAAAGCATAAAAATTTAATTAATAAAAATATTTTCATCTCAAGTTTTTATAATTCGAGAAGAATTTTCTTACCTTTTTTTTAGTATTTCATATTTATTACATGAGTTTTTTCGAATAAAGTTGCATAATTTTTATCTATAACAAAATTTATTGGTTTATTATCATTATGAATCCATTTCCAGCTATGATGTTAGCTAGTTCAACTACATCTCAGCCAAAAAAGCATGGTAGAGAAAAAGGTAGACATTATCTTACAGAGTATATTATTACTACTGATGAATATGTCAATCCACAAAAGCCCAATAATAAATATTGCTATTGCTTGACCTGTTACAAAATAAATTCAGAAAAAGTTAAAATCATTAATAGAAAAAAATTAGTAAAAAATCATCTTAAAAAATGCATATATTTTATGTGTAAAGTTGGTAGAAAAGAACAAATCGATAATATTTTGAATAAAGAAGAATCTGAAGAATCTTCAACAAAGAAGTTACGATTGGATTATGAAGACGGTAAATTATATATTTTAATATTATAATATTCTGTTATTTTATAATAATTCAAACAAATATTATTTAATTTAGAATCTTCTGATGAAAATAAGAGT